ATTACAAAAGCTTCTTGGTGTCGTTTATATGACTAGCATAGCTAAATCGACTCATCTCGTATATTATCCGCAGGAACTTAACAGTAACACTATCTACCAAACGTTGCACAATTCATTATTACTTCGGTCAGACGTTTAAGCTTTTCAGAAAAAGACCGCCATTTCGCGAGGCAAAAACGTTCGTACTAGCAAGTTTTATGTAAGTTAAAATCAATGTTCTAAAATTTGTATGGAAGGCAGAAAACCTATTAACAAAAGTTATACTGAAGCCCATTAGTCGCCATTTTATATCTAAATGTCAGACTTTAATAAACGCTGAAGAAAAGCATCGATTTCTTTTTTTCTCTTACTCTTTTTTTGATTTTAACCTATTCAAATCCAATAGATTGCGCTCAAAATCAAGCACAAACAATTTTGTGAATGCTTAAATAGGAGTGTAAAATCAAAAGGACTCKTACCTGAAGTCTGATATACGTAAATTTCAAGCACTTTTTAATATTCCGGCAATATCAACGAGCTAATGCAAGCTGAAGCTTCAATAATCGCTCCTATTAAGTTTACATTCAAGCTCTTGCAGTTAGCAATTTGCATTTGACTATTGAGTGCACACATCACTGTAAAATCAGCGTCCTCCGCCCTTCGAGAGGCGTACAAATTTTAATGGCAACCAAATCCCCAATTTCTTCGTGAAATTTGAACAGACACTTGTGGTTACTGCATATTAAACTAATATTGTCATATGCTCGGTTTCCTGGCACACTCGTACACACACAGAATAATTGTACATATGTTTTACCCCCACAAATGGCTCTTTTTACTAGGCGACGCCATCATCTTCAAATTTTGATGTTTTTGTCATCTGCACGGCACACATGTCACCTGCAGACTCACACATTATAATGTCTTTTTGATGGCAGCTGCTGACAGTTGGCAGAAACAGGTCATAAGCATAAGCGCTGCAACGGATGTGCGACATTATTTCCGCATGAACGCCATTTTCARTGGCACTTCCCACGCGTGTAGGACGTGTAGCCGTAATGCTGAAAGTGCCACACAACTGTTTGCAAAGCTACTACATGTGTTTGTGGAAGCCTCATTGTACGCGTTGCACATGAAATGGCAAGTAAGACAGTTTTGAAACAGAAGTTACCACGGATCAAACTATGCAACTAATTATCGGAGGGATTTAGGAGACTATACAAGTAACACCGAACATTTTATACTCTCGCATGATAAGTTTCATCAAGATATCTCAATTTTTACTCAAGTTACAGCTTGCACGGATGGATAGACAGACATCCGGATTTCAACTCTTCTCATCACCCTGATCATTTTGGTATCATTTTTGACGATATATACCGTTATTAGCAACTTTATTGCGAGAGTATAAAAATGATGCCCTCTGAATTACATGAAAATATCTGAGAGATTTACCGATATTTTCGGTGAAAAATTAGGTTAGGTTAGATTAGGCATTGAGTTCTTCGTGTTCGATAACAGGAACCTTGAAAAGTTATAGTCCGATCGCGAGAATTTTTCCACAAGGGATACCTCAGCTCAAGTACCGTATTTGTGTAAAGCTGTATTCCGCTATCATCATTGGTTCCTAATGTATTATATACATTATTCAGAGAAGGCATCAGATGGAATTCAAAATAGCGTTATATTGGAAGAAGGCGTGGTTGTGAACCGATTTCACCCATATTTCGTACATGTCATCAGGGTGTTAAGAAAATATTATATACCGAATTTCATTGAAATCGATCGAGTAGTTCCTGAGATATGATTTTTGGTCCATAAGTGGGCGGCACCACCACCCATTTTCAATTTTTAAAAAAAGCCTGGGTGCAGCTTCCTTCTGCCATTTCTTCCGTAAAATTTAGTGTGTCTAACGTTTTTTGGTCGGTTAACGCACTTTTAGTGATTTTCAACATAACCTTTGTATGGGAGGTAGGCGTGGTTATTATCCGATTTCTTTTTGAACTGTATATGGAAATGCCTGAAGGAAACGACTCTGTAAAGTTTGGTTGACATAGCTATAGTAGTTTTCGAGATATGTACAAAAAAGATAGTAGGAGGCGGGGCGACGCCCACTTTTCCAAAAAAATTACGTTCAAATATGCCCCTTCTTAATGCGATCCTTTGTGCCAAATTTTACTTTAATATCTTTATTTATGGCTTAGTTATGACATTTTATAGGTTTTCGGTTTCCGCCATTTTGTGGGCGTGGCAATGGGCCGATTTTCCCATCTTCCAACTTAACCTTCTTATGGAGCCAAAAAATACGTGTATCGAGTTTCATCATGATATCTCAATTTTTACTCAAGTTACAGCTTCCACGGACGGACGGACGGACAGACAGACATCCGGATTTCAACTCTACTCGTCACCCTGATCACTTTGGTATATATAACCCTATCTGACACTTTTAGTTTTAGGACTTACAAACAACCGTTATGTGAACAAAACTATAATAATCTCCTTAGCAACTTTGTTGCGAGAGTATAAGAATGGGGATGCCTATAATAATAGCAATAGATTACTAATATTTCTTTGCACATTCTTCTTTTCCTTCCTACAAGGGCAGTGTTAAAAATGCTTAGCCAATCTATATTCCCATAAACGCTCACTGTCAAAAGCCAAAACGATCTCGTAGTCTTATTTTGTCCGCTAGTGAAACTGGGATACGAACTAATATTCTATCCACCGATTTCTCCATCCGTCACCTCATGTAACTTCTTGACTTCGTTTCCTAACTTGCAATTGGCATACGCCCAGCACAGATTTTAGACAATTAGAAAAAAGTGATTCGGTTCTTAATTTTGAAAGGAAAATTTCGCACTGTCAACTGAATTGCAATTTAAACAAGTAAGGGAGAGCTAAGCTCTGGTATAACCGAAGATTTAATACTTTTGAAACTTGCAAGGATTAAAGCCAAGGAAGTACCTTCAGGTGCATAAGGCTTGTTAATTATATGGGGTCTAGGGCGAGTTTTCCCCTGTGTTTATTCATTCTAAGCACAAAAACCACCGTTAAAAGAAATATTGTTCTTTCCATTTTATAAGGATAACTCAAATATTGGTAGATATATCCCGCCAAAAGACACCCGGAAGTTCGGAAATATTTATAAGGGCATATGGGAGCTAAGCGAAAAATCATTTCCTGACTGTAGTACATCTGTGGGCCAAAAATGGGTTGAATCATATTGACACCTAGAAAAAAACATCTGAGACCCTATAAAATATATACACAAATGACCTGAGTCCAGTCAATGGGAATTGTACCCATAGACTTWAGACTTTACATATCTTCACAGAAAAAAGTCTAACGGTGTGACATAACGCTATCTGTGTGGCTAATCGACCAGTCCAAAACGTGAAGTTATCGCTTTACCGAAGATTTCTCTCAATAAATCCATTCATTGATGCGATGTGTGGGAAGTGGCAGCGTCTTGTTGGAATTAAATATTGCCGAGATCACGAGCTTCAATTTTCGGTATCAAATAGTCGGTTATCAAGACACGATGAAGGATGTCATTGATGGATATGTTCTTTCAAAGAAATATGGACCGATGATTCCACCGGCCGCAAACCACACTAAACCATTGTTTTTTCTGAATGAATTGGCAGCCAAATAATTAATGTTGGATCTCAAGATAGGTGAAGGTCAAGCAGTACGCTTAGTAGGCCGATTATGTTGACCATAAATAGTTGAGCGAAGGGCGCGAAACACATTCTTTACAAATCGTGAATTCTCGTAATAAATTTGAACCACTCGTCGAAAAAGGCTACTGAAAAAAGTACCTCTACTTGAATCACCCTTTAACTGCCATGCAAACGGAACGATTAAGATAAATTCTTCGTATGCAAAGCTTTTATTCTTTGACAAGATATTTACACAAAATTGAGCATGGATTATAATTAAAAACAACGTTATAATCACCGGAAAAAAATTTTGATCTGGTCACTCTAGCAAGTAGCTGTCATACAAATTTACCTATCAGAACAGCTAATCGCAATAAATAGTATTCAAATAAGAAAGTAATTGCTTATTGAAAATCGTCAGTCAAATTGACAAACATACAACTCGAAATCATTACAATCATACGATGATAGTAGTTATCAAGCTAATAAAAAAAAAACGTTGAGTTTCTATATCATAAATACAGAGAAAAGGAGCGTTTAATACATTTATTTAAGAAACCGATTTTATGGTCTTCGATATTGATTTATTAACATCATGTTCTTCACGTGTGCGATAAGATTAAGATTGAAYAGTAGAAAAACTGTGGTATTGGCCATTATTGCGATTTGACCATTCAGTTCAATTCCATAAGTTGATCTCAAATAACACGAAATTCGCAGTCTTAACGTCAAAGTTGTGGAAAGTATTTTATAGAAATGCGCATAACATTTCTCTTTGCCTTAGCCTTGACGGCTGTCTTTGTTGGCGTGGTATTGGCAAGCGACAGAGGTGAGAATTGCACGAGTTTGAACAGGAATAGTGGCTAGTTGTGTGGYTGCATGTATGAAATTGCAAAAATTGTAATTCTTCGTTTTTAAAAGTACATTTTTGAAGGTATAATCCTACATCGACAATTGGAGTGAAGAATAATCCATCATTTTTATACAAGAGATGTTATAGCCATTTAACATTAGTATACCCCAGAAAAAAAACTGTAAAAAAATATAACGCCCTCGATGTTTAAAATAATAATTTGGAACTTGTGCTAGAAGTATTGCAGCAAACTTATCAGAATATAAAAGTCTACGATAATTGCTTGTAGCTCTGGGCCTTTCGATTAATATAATCTGTACTACGGTAAAAATCCTGTTTTATGAGTATAAGCACCCTAGATCCCAATTATATTCAGGCGATAGACACTTATACTAGGCAAATAAACGCAGGCTGGCAGCAGTAAGAGGAGTTAGTGCTTTCAGAACAATACTGTCTGAAACTCAATCGACGGTGGGCTCACAAACTGACACCGGACATCCATTCATGGATAGACAGACGATATTTTTAAATACAAGGGAAAAACTAAAACTACACATTTTACATTGTAAAATTCTACGATACTCATGTGTCTGTCCATTGAGGAATAGAGAGCTGTCAGCGAAGTGGCAGCCTAAGTCATGACGAACTGAGACACATACAATAGATCAGTGCGTACCAACGCGGAGACTTAAAATGCCTTATCCAACGAAGTAATACTTAATCAGTTATTTCCGTGGGAGGGAGAGTCTTGAATTGAAAGTAGATTAGGTTTATCGGATTACTGTTCCGCACTCCGGTTTTTGTTGCTTCTCCCCACTTAAAACAGCTCCCTTGTGTTTACACGAATCACTTAAAAATTCTGATACATATTCATAGAATATATTCGTAATCTGTAAATTATCTTCTATTCAAATTTAGACCTCCCATCTAAACTATAAGTGATCTTCTATTCAAATCTAGACTATCTATATGAGCTTTTACTGATCAGAGACAGAGGAGCTAAACTCCAAGATGTATTAAGGTCTTAAATACTTGTTATTACTTGCCACAATATGTATACCCTATATATATAGGATATATCAAGTTTGCGACAATGTTTGTAGTACCCAAGATCACACATCGGAGAAACCATAAACCATACTATATATAAATGATCAGTGTGACGAGATAAGTTAAATTAGGACCTCTATGGCATACACACTTAAGTACTTATATGGTTAACTTTTTTTTTTAAAGACATCTTCATAAAATTTTGCTTAGATTATTATCTAAGGCAGGAAACTCCCATACAAAAGGACCGCTCAAAATCTAACTAAGGATCTTTCAATACCATATGCTACACAAAATACTCTTGTGAGGGTATTATAACTTGGAGCAGAGTTAAAATCAAAAAGTCTTCCTATCTTCACTTTGATACATGGTTTTAAGTTTAAGTTAACTAGGCTAATAAATAGTAAAGTTAGAGCTGTCATCTTATCTAACAGTTGAAACTTTCCGATCTTTGTTAAATAGCACAGCATATGTGCAATGTGATTAGAAAAAGCTTTAAATATAATTATAACCTCTAAAACAATGAATTTTATTTAATCATTACATTGGAATACTACTTGAAACGCCACATCGGTTATCAACAGACTACTCGACAATGCTTGTACTTTAGACTTAATAACACCATTAATTAAACATTTATTATTATAGTACATGTATACAAAATTTATAACTAAACATTTATCTGCACACCACGCACAGCACATCCCCGCAGAGCACAACCACGCAGCAGTACAKCACGACTCGGCGCCGCATCGCACATCACAAATCAAGCTGAACGTGATGCCAGCTATTGGAATGAATTTGCACAGGACACGCTCAAAGACAAGATCCAACAAGCAGCGAAACTAAATACGGCTAATGTCGCTAAGAATGTTATAATGTTTCTGGGCGATGGCATGTCGGTGCACACAGTCACGGCTGCGCGCAATCTAATGGGTGACAGCTCAAATCAATTGTCCTTCGAGCAATTCCCCTACCTTGGCTTGTCGAAGACATACTGCATTGATCGTCAAGTAGCCGATTCTGCGTGCACAGCCACCGCTTATTTGGGTGGTGTGAAGGCCAACTACGGTACGATTGGTGTGAATGCTAAAGTGAAACGTTACAATTGCATCGACGGTCAAAATCCAGAAAACTATGTGGAGAGTATTGCCAAGTGGGCACAAGATGCCGGCAAGGATGCGGGCCTGGTGACAACGGCACGTGTAACACACGCCTCACCAGCTGGCGTGTATGCGCATACGGCCAATCGTGATTGGGAGAATGATGCCAAGGTTGTCGCGAACGGCTGCAGCGCCACGGATAATGTGGATATTGCACGTCAGCTGGTCGAATGGGATGTGGGTAAAAAGTTGAAGGTTGTTATGGGCGGTGGGCGACGCAACTTCATTAATACAACGGTCAATGATGAGGAAGGCTTGCCTGGTCTTCGCACAGATGGACGCAATCTCATACAGGATTGGTTGAAGGATAAAGAAGCGAACAATCAGCAAGCGGCTTATGTGTGGAGCAAGAAGGGTTTGAGTTTGGTGGATTTAGATAAAACTGAATATCTGATGGGTTTGTTTGCGAGCTCGCATTGCCCGTACAATGGTGATTTAGAGCGCAGCAACTACAAGCTGGTCAAACCATCGTTAACCGAGATGACTGAGGCTGCTATTAAAGTGTTACAAAAGAATCAGAATGGCTATTTTCTCTTTGTTGAAGGTGCGCGCATCGATATGGCACATCACGATACACGCGCCCGTAAATCTTTGGAGGATACTGTGGAATTTTCACGTGCCATTGAGCGTGCACGTGCAATGACTTCGGAGGAGGATACACTTATCGTCGTCACGTCGGATCATTCGCACACTATGACCATAAATGGTTACCCGGTAAGTGTATAATCAATTACATTTAGTAATACCGTTAAAATGCTATCACTTCATTTATGTGACTTTGCAGTATCGCGATCTACCAATAACTGGCTTGTCCAACGCTGTTGCCGATGACGGTTTACCATACACTATTTTATCCTATGCCAATGGACCGGGTTTCAGCACCACCTACAATGACAAGACAGGCCGCAGCGAAATCACCGCTGAAGAGACCGAAAATGTAAATTTTGAATACTTGGCTACAGTGCCTTTGGACTCGGAGACTCATGGTGGTGATGATGTGGGTGTTTTCGCTTCCGGACCGTTTGCGCAGTATTTTAGCGGCAACTATGAACAGTCAAATATACCCGCTATGATGGCACGCGCTCTCAATATTGGGCCTTTTGCCAATCTGTAAACTATACTTCTAAAATGAATTTTTTATTGCAATTATTTCATTTGTGCACCACAAAGTATTTATAAAGGGTGACTCAAAAAAAAAAAAATAAAAAAAAAAAAATTTTCGTTTGGTACTCTGAAAAATAGGTTCCTAGACAACTCTAAAGAAGACTCTCCAAGAATGAGTTCTTAATTGTAACGGGAACGTCCTGCTACTTACAATTTTCTATTTTTTTAAATTATTATATAGAAAAATTTATATCTCGCTTGAAAAAATACTCTACTTGAAAAAATATCTTGTTCCTTACATTTTGTAGGAAATTGAATGCTCTACAAAAAAGGTCTGTACGATTTTTTCGTAAACTCAACCGTTTAAAAGATATTAACAGTTAAAGTTTGATTATTTCTGGGAACATTTTTTATTTCTTTTGAATTTTTTAACTCAATGAAATAAAATCATTAAGAATTTGTATTACACATACTACTGTTATGGGCAAAAAATAGTAAGAAATTTATGAAAACCATTTTGAAAACAGCGTCGGGTTAACTATGCTTGCCGACAGCCAGGAGTTCATGAGACCTATTATTACTGCCGATGAGTCTTGAATCTATGCTTACGACCCGGAAACAAATGATCAATCGGTCGAATATCGTGGCAAAGGAGGGCCGAAGACGAAAAAACAACGTCAAAGCAATTAAAMCAAAAAATGATAGTTTTCTTCGATTACCGAGGTGTGGTTCACTCCGACCGGCCACACTGCCAACAAGGAATACTATTTGAGTGTTACGCGTAGTTTGCGTGAAACTTTTCGTAAAAAGGATCGGAATTTTGGGCTGCATCGTCGAGCACTGAGCTTTTTGCTAAATTTTCAGCCAATATTGTGCTACAACCACCGCCTTCACCTGTTTTAGATCCGTGTGATTTCTGGCTATTTAGCAAACTCAAACGACCGCTCAGTGGAAACCGTTTTGAATCCTTCTGTTTCAAAGATTGGAAAAAAAGTTGGCATAAGTGCATTAGGCTAAATTAAAGACATCATCTCTTCGTTTATTTTAAACCCGCTTTCGACAGCACGCATAGGAGCTTCCTCTATGCTTGAACAACACCAAAAGCTCCGTCCAGACAAGGCGATTCCCTATTGTGCGACTTCTTCAATCTACTCCCGGAGAAAATAATCAAAGCAGCAGAGCTAAATCGATGATATTGATATAATTGTCTTCAACATCTACGCCGTTATTTCTACCTTCTCCAGACTGCATAAGGAAGCGAAGCAAATGGGTCTGGCAGTGAACGAGGGCAAGAYGAAATATCTTCTGAGATATACGACGACATTGACATAGTTCTACGCTGGTTTTGTCGGAATGGACGAAAACATTCCAGTTTTGAAAGTATTCAACCCAGTAACCGCGGGCAGGAGAAGACTGCCACTCCGTTGAAAAGACCAGCTACACTTCAAATCTCCAATTAGCGCCAAACAGCGGGAAGGAAAAACGATTAGCGTGCTGTTGTAAAGCCGACTATAACCGCGTAAACGGTGTCTATGGTGTCTAAAGAAGAAGAAGTKAATTGGTCCTAAGGGGGAGTAATTTGAGGAGAACGTTATAGATTTTGAAGAATAAATAAAGAATTTTAAAATTATGAACATAGTCTTACTACCTTTTTTTTATTAGTATACGTACCTATAGTTGATATTCCGTTCCTACTTATGGACCTGTTTTAAGTAACTGCCAAGACTTTTTATTTCATTATTGACATCGACCCTATTATGGCCAAAAACACCATTAATCTTTGCATGAAAAACTACACTATCTTTGTATTCATCGGAATCTAAATCTAATGAACTTTAAGAGAAATTTTTGAATTTGACAAAAGCCTATCACCTTTCTATACTCAGCTGTGATTGTGAACCAGAATAAGTTTTCGTTCTGGTCTACCATGTACCGATAAGGCCTTAATTTAAAATTACACAGAGGAAATAAAGAAGTAAAAAGACGAAAAACTTTGAAGCTCGTCAATTTAGTCTTAGAAGAACAAACTTTATTAGCGAAAGTAAAGCATACCAATATTCAGACAACTCACAGAAATATGTTGAAACAACCACGATTTTCCAACCACTTTCTTTGTCATAAAATACTCTACTAAAGCAGTTGCATGGACAATTTATAGTCAGCAGAAAAATAAAAATAATATACATCGAAGAATGGATTAAGATAATTTAGATTTTTGAAGAATATTTTGTGACCGATATTAACTTCAGTTGTATTGATTCCAAATATACTCAATAAATTCTTATGTAGCTCTATAAAAATGAGATCCATTCTTAACTCGTCTTGATTTCTGAGGTATTGAAAGCATAAATGAGTTCATAAAATACTAGCTTGTTTCTCCAATTATGAATTAATGCTTACCAAAAATGTCATAACTTCTCCAGAAAAGGTGTCCAGAAGATAATGTTCACTCATCCTTTGATTGATTGTCTAAATACATATGTTAAATATGTACATACTCGTATAGTATAACTATAGATAGAATTTTTATGAGATCATGTTGAAATGCAATGTGATGATATCAAGGAATGCAATAATTAAATTAAAATACATACATATATTTTCTTTTAATTTTCTGTAATATCAAATACTCAACTTTACATATATATGGATTTTAAAATACATACATACAAACCAACAATATATTGTATAACAAATCTACGAGTCGGTGCGAAATTTTCAAAACAACACAGAATTCGAGCAGCTGCAGCTACACAGACCCACTGAACACACGTAATATTTGCAACGTATCTAAATATCTATGTACACATGTATATACATATGAATGTATATATGTATGTATATCTAACACGCCCTCATGCCTTCGCTATCCATCAACTGTGACCGTATAATAGCCTGCAATGGGTCATAGGAGTAGCAAAATTGCCAACTCAATCTAATTAAATGTCAATTCAGCAGATTATGAAAACATCGTTAGCTGCAGCGTCAACACATACGAGTATGTAACATACATATGTATGTATCCTTAACCAGTTGGAGCCAACATAAATAATGTAGAATCAAGCACAAATATGCCAGAAGCTCCGACGGATGATATTTCATACGAGCTCATACATAGACGCTCTTACAGTGTGCCACAAATGTATAGTAATGTAAATATATAATGCTAGACATACCAGCTCTATGCTGAGTGTACTCCAGCTTCGTATATATTTTATAGGTCAGTGCAACTTGTTGCACATGGTATTGTAACTTTTCTCTCCTTTTTTTTGCCTCACAAATTAGAACACAACCCCAAAAAGTTCCCTTAAAATTAACTTGACATTCTTTCAACTCTATCTCTCAGGCTTTAGAGCCAAAGGTGTGATTTAACAGTTTGAAAATCTTTAAAGTTTTGTACATTTTTCATCAATTTTCACTAGATATAAAACACCCTCCTCCAAACGAACCTATGCCTATCTTACTTATTTCGAAGGATTGTTTAAACACAATCATCCCATAAGGAAATGAGCCATGTAACGTTAAACTAAAGAGCTTCTTAAAAGACAATTTGTATGGCAGCATTAGGCTATGGTGGTCCGATTTGAACAATTTCTTCGGAGCCTCTTCCGTTAGCTTGAATAATAATCCATATCAACTTTTGTAAAGATAGCTCGCCAACTAAGAACAGAATCCATACGAGGACATGATTTTTATTGTTATAGAGATCTAGTATCAAAGGTTGCGACAACTGAGCAACTTTTTAGGGAGAATAGRACGAGTGCAWTTCAGATCGGTATCTCAAAAACTGAGGGAGTTGTTCGCCTATATACTGACAAAGGGACAAATACACAAACCCTACTAAATCGGTTCAGCGTTGATCGTTTATATATGAATGCATACATTTTATAGGGTCTTCAACKTTGGTAAGTGTTATAAACTYCGTGTCAAACTTAAAACACCCTGTTGTACAAATCTGATATAATGAGGCTGACTCTTTGGATAAGCTCTATTCCCATTGAGTATGAGATATTCAGCACGCGATCGTGATAATTACTAGACATGAGTTGAAGATCAAACCTCTATCCGTCTAATCATAGTCACAGCCTACATTATCGAAAAGAAGGAGACAATAAATTTCATTTTAAACCTAAATAAAAGATTCCTTGTACCTCTACAAAGGTCCTTGATAGCCCTAGTTTACAATAATATTTGCGACTGTAATGTTACAGACTGTTTCTTTCTAATTTTGGATTGCTAAAGCCTCAACGACCGCGRCATTAATTCTGTTTTCTCCAGACAAAATATCTCCTGTCATCAAATAAACAGYCGTCGCACTCGCGACTTGGCTTCCACGTCATTGTTGACAKTCATAACTTCGAAGTCGTAGATAATTTTGTCTATCTTGGAACCAGCAAWAATAACAAAAACATCGACAGCCTCGAAATTAAATACGGAATAGCTACAGCTGCTACTTCGCAGTAACTATGCAATTGAAAAATAAAGTCCTCTCTCGATGAACAAAGACCAAACTCTACAAGTCACTCATCATCCCCGTTCTGATAAGTGATGCAGAGGCAAGGACAATGACAAAATCTGATGAGTCGGCGTTACGAGATATGAGAATATCCGTCGGGAAATTTCGATAATTGTACTTTAAAAGTTTCTTAAAAACAACCRTGACTGGTGAAAGTCTCACTATCCGTCTAAATAACTGGATTACTAATAAAATAAAGTAATGTACACAGAGGTGTCGTATACTGAATACCGACTAGTTTGTCTAACAACAAGAAACAACACAGTATAATCATGTTCTGATTATATGATTTTGTTTACTTTCCATTTTATCTCTTTTCGAGTTATTTATTTGCAGTTCTGTACCTAGATAGATGAAAAGAAACTTTCGGCRATCATAGATATACAAATACATACTGTATGAATTCCAAGTCACGTTGGCTGGCCGACTTTTACAATAACAGCGTTGCAATGCGCCACAAAATGCAGCGGAGCTAACTAGGTTACGGTTTAAATTGCGCGAACGAGAACAGCACTCACAGGATAACACAAAAAGGATTCTTTACATTTCGAGCTGAGTTGAGTTTAGAGCAGA